TCGACATCGATTCGTGCAAGTATATGATTGCATTGCTGCAGCATCCTTTGTGGGCCAATCAACTTACCAACTTGACAGTTAGTGGCTACAAAGTTTCCGCCGAACAAGTGCACAGTTTTTTTAATGCAATCAACGGACTGACTTCGCTTCATCACTTGGCCATTGAATTGTTTGACGATATTGATTCATTTGATCTGCCCATTCTTAGCCGACTAAAAATGATTTATGTTCACTTTTACACAAGAACTTCAGTGGAAACATCATATGAAAACATTATTCGCTTTTTCTTGCGCTCTTTTGATAAATATGCCACTGAAAATGCTGATCTTCAGGTGCATTTTTCCACACACCGCCTTAACTATTTTTTGAATCACGCTGGTGAAAATTTTAAACGACATTGTGTTGGACTTTCCCAACCTTTTAAAATTGATACACTTTTTGACGATGTTCCTCGTATATGCTTTCAGTTTTCTTTCCTCACTTCACTAGATATTGATAGAATCACTTGTCTAAATATTTGTCAACTTTTTAATTCTTTTTCTCTTCTTAAACAGCTTGTTCATTTAAAATTTACATTTTTGAATAATTTAAAGAATACTTTTAATTTATGTCCTCGTCCAGTGTCTCAACTAACATCTGTCCTGGCACTTGATCTTCATTTGACTATCCCAACGCATGAAGTAGTGGAGTGGCTGAACTTCCAATGGACATTGCCTAACTTGCAAACAATTCACCTAATGGAATACCGATGTAGAAACTGTGACATTCACATTGGCCAGGGTTTACCATGGTTCACAGGCGTTGATAAATCACTCTCAGAAAATGAAAAGATTGAATGTTTAAAATGCCTTGGCGAAACACTTCCAAAACTTCATTCGAGTGTTTATCACATGAAAAAAATTACAGTTGATTTGACCCAAGCAAACGTATCTATCTTACTTAAAAAAAGAGAAGCGATGTACGCTGGTGACGTGTAATCACAAGCAACTTTTATATGCCAGCTTTATATATAAATTATATTCTATAATATGCTTTTAAAAATAATTTTTTAAACCTACAAACAATAAAATTAATTTCAGTTTTTGAAACAACAATAATTTTGCTTCTGTATCGAATTTCTTGCCCTCTCCAGGGCAACCTTATGGTTTTTGTCTTACTTTTGTTTTTCTTTATGAGCTTTTCTAATTGAGGTTATAACTAAAACAAAGTTTTTGAGCAGTTTTTCACCAAAACAGTTTTGTTAAAAAAGAGTTTTTTGTTTGAGACAGTTATTTTTCGATCAAAGTTAAAAGTGATGCTTTGATTTTCATTTTGATTTTTTTGTTCTCACAGTTGNTAGCGTTGGCTATTTACACATTGGCCCGTTGCCTGAAGAGTCCCCAAATCTAACGGCGGCTGCGTCGTGATTGGCGGCGCTTTGAAAACGAAACACAAATCTAACCGCCGTTCTCGTCTAGCTCAACAGTTGCCACTTTTGCACAGAGGCGCGCTAGCGTGTTTGTTGTTTGCCATCTTCTAAATCGCCTTCATCACCTTCTTCACCTTTCATCCTTTCACCTTCCACCGATCGGCCATCCATGGAGGACAAGGAGAATAGCAATCCCATCCAGTCGGTGTCTCCGTCCGGCGAGGCGGCGGCTGTTGCCAATGTCAGTAATTTGGAGCTTCACAAGAGTTCCGGCAACAACTTGATGCAGTTCAATTCTCCGGACGAGCAGCAGGGCGAGCCGAAGACTGCTGATCAACTATCAACACCACCACCACCGACCACCACCACCACCACAAGTGGTGGACAGTCGCCCAAACGACCCGTCCTCAAGGAGATCAGCGTTGACCTCTTCGGCCTGATCTCTCCCGATCGAAAGTTCACTGCTGGAGAGGAGGAAGAAGAGGACAAGGAAGGTTCTCCGAGCAAGCCAGGTAAAGCCAGTGATCTCTTGAGCATGTCAATCTTCCAGACATCGCCTTCCACTACCACCGCCGCCGCCACCACCACCACAGACAACCAAAAGGTAAACATTTCAAGTGCAAGTTCAGGCGAAACTGTTTCTACCGTGGAGCAGATTTCGGCCACTGCTCAGGATACTTCCTCCTCAATCCTGTCCACCAGTTTGCTCTTCAACCAATCTACGGCTACTCAGCCCTGCGACGGCGACGACTCTTCCTTTATCTCAACTCAACTGCTTTTTAATCAGTCACTCAACCTGAGTTTGAACCGCTCCCAAGAAGCGACACCAGGCAACGAATCAGGCAATGATTCAAACAGCACCATAAACAAGACTATGCAACTTTCAGTTATCAGTATGTCATAAAAGTCTGTCCGGCAATTCACTCTAATGTGTGTTTTTGTTTCATTTTTAGACTCGTCCACGCTTCTGAAGAATGAAATTGAGTTCAGCGTCACTTACGATAACTTCGAGTCCGAGGCAAAGGACTGCGACCAGGAGACTAGTGTTGTCGTCGATGACCAGTGCGCCTCTCCTTCCGTAGCGCCATCGACGCAGCAGCAAGAACAGCAAGTCAACAGTGACAGCGTTGATTCCGGTGCCTCGTCACTGAAGGATGAAGATGAGCTCGCAGTGAACTGCGTCCAGGCGCAGCCGGTGCCGGCGCTGCAGGACTCAGCTCTGCTTGAAACTAAGCTCATCTACGAGTCGAAGATTGTAGAGCTGAACGCTCGCATTGACGAACTGGAAGAGGAGCTGCAGAAGAAGAGTCAGACTGACGGCAGCCAGCCGAACGATGCTCAGGCCACCGTCATCAACGAGACGCCCTTCTCTATGGGCGACAGTGTCAATCTGATTCAAACGGAGCACGACTATGAGAGCACCATCAAGGCGCTTAACGAGCGTGTCCACCAGCTGGAGGAGGAGAATCGCGCCACTAAGCAAAAGTTAACCATTTCCGAAGTTGCCCAGAAGAAGGAGTCGTCTTCCTCCAACGCAGAGCTGCAGCAGCAGACTTCAATGGTGCAAGGAACGGAAGACGACTTGGAGATGACGTTCACGCTCGAGGATCGCCTTAGTCTGCTTGACACGAAGGTCGCCTACGAAAAGCGAATCGTCGATCTGGAGGAGAAGGTGGAGGAGTTGGAGTCGCAGAAACCGGACTCCAGCACCATTGTCAGTGATGACAGCTTCATCATTGACAAGCAGCTCGTGGAGCAGCTGCTCGACACTAAACTGGTGCAGGAGAATGAAATTGAGCAGCTAAAGGCGAGGCTCGCCCAGCTGACCACTCAGGTGGCCGAGTGCGAAGGAGCCAAGGAGCAGCAGCTCAGGGAGGAGTTGAAGACCGCCAAGCAGCACCACGAGGCGGACCGTCAGCAGTACGAGGAGCGGATGGAAAGCAAGGACAAGGAGATTGAGTCGCTGACGAGCCGACTGGCCGGGCAGGACGCCCACTACCAGAAGCTGCTGGGCGAGATGGAGGCCCAGGTGGCCGAGCTGAAGAGCAAGGAGACGGAGTGCCGTGAAGAGCACGTGGGATCGCTGGTGCCCAAGTATGAGATTCTGCTGTCGCAGTACCAGGAGCTCTCGCTGCGGCAGCAGGAGTCGGAGGGTGCCAACCAGCAGCTGCTGGCGAACATCACCGACATGGACGAGCAGCGGAACGCCCTGCGCCGCAAGTTGGAGCGCGCCAGCGAGCAGGCGGCGCTGCAGGCGGAGCAGCTCGAGGCGGCTCGCGAGCAGCTGGCGGCGGCGGTGGAGCGGCAGCTGAAGAGTGTCGCCGCGGAGACGACCGCCCTGACGCGGCTGGAGCAGCTCGAGGTGGCGCAGCGCATCCTCTCGGAGGACCTGTCCGCCCGCGACGACCAGTGCGCCCGGCTGGAGGCGGAGAATGGGCAGCTCAAGGCGCAGCTGGCGGAGCAGACGGAGCTAGCGCTTCGAGAGGCCAAGGCCCTAGAGGAGGAGGTGGCCACCGCCCAACTAGCCGGGCAGNCCCGCGACGACCAGTGCGCCCGGCTGGAGGCGGAGAATGGGCAGCTCAAGACGCAGCTGGCGCAGAGTGAGCTGGATCTTCGAGAGGCCAAGGCCCTGGAGGAGGTGGCCGCCCAACTGGCCGGGCAGCAGCTGAAGGAGGCACAGGAAGAGGTGGGCGCGCTCAGAGCGGAGCAGCTGACCCTGCAGGAGAACATCAGCCAGCTGCAGGCGGCCAATGGGCAGCTCAGCGAGGCGAAGGACGCCCTGGAGGGGGCCCTGGCGGTGGCCCAGGCCGGCCAGCTCACTGAGGCGGAGGCGAAGAAGGCGCTCGAAGAGCAGCTCACCTTTTCGGAGTGCCTGGCGAAGAGGCTGCAGGAGAGTCTGTGCGCCGAGCAGCAGGCACGCGACACGCTGCTGCTGCCGGCGAAGGAGAAGCTCACTGAGTCGGTGGAGAAGTTCACCAAAATGTCCTCCTCACTGAGCAAGCTGATCGCCGCCATGAAAAGCAACAGGGACTACAGGGAGACGGTGCCCAGTGACATTGTCAAGAAGATTCTCTACAATGTCCGCTACAAGTGAGTAGTAGTGGCCTCCACAGTTTGCCAACAATTACCAACAAAAAATCCTTATCCTTTTTTCTTTAGGGTAAACAGCACCGTCGTGGAGAGCAGCCAGGTGCTAGGGCTGCAGTGTGACATTGTCCTACCGCCGGTAGCAGTGGCGGCGGCTGCGACCGGCGACAGCAAGAAGACCACCTCTAAAGTGGAAGGGACTGAGGAAGAGGAAGAGGTGCACCTCTCTGACGACATTAGTCCCTTGGTGGTGGAGGAGGGAAAGGGCGAGGCTGAGGAGGAGGAGGGCACCCAAGTGTAGCCCAAATTTTGGCAAGGCTATGTTCTCTTCTATGTACAATTAATTATTCGCTTTAATCACCAACAACCTTTGCTTCTTAAATTATAAACTAATCAAGTAAATAAATCATCACCGGGACAACTCTGTCGTCTGTTCAGAGAACAATGCCATTGTTGTTTGCTAATCTGAATCGATCGACGGAAGGGTTATCATCAGGTGCATCAGCTCGGAGAAAAAGGGAGAGAGTTAAATTGAATCCAAGTCCAAGAGAATGAGTGTGCTCTGGTCAGCGGTGGAGATGGCAACACCGTCGCCCACAGACGGACAGACGGACAGAGGCCACCTACGTCACGCACAGGCCAATTACAGAAAGCCTGTGTCGGCTTCACTTGCTCTCCCTGTTCTGTCTGTTTGCTGTCAATCGATTGAGTGCGCCAGGCACCTCAGCAGCAGCAGCCGAAGCAGTAGCGATGAGAGGTGATAAGTGACAACTTGTGATACCAACTACGAGAGAGGAGAGAAGAGCGGCGCCAGTCAGCAAAGCAAAGGGAAAAAAAGGTTGTCCTGTCGAGTGCAAAGGAAACACACACACACGCACCGACCATCCAAAGAGTTGCCTCCATCATCGCACAGAACCCGCCTGGAACAACAGCCGTTCGGAGTCAACAATAACAGCAGCAGTAGTAGCCAAGTGAACTTAAAAAAGACAAAAGATGGCCTCCAAGGAGTCCCTGCTCACCGGTGTCCGCCTGCTGGCCGTCCTCATCTACGGCTACTCCATCTACTATCAGCAGATCACCCCAAACCCCTTCAATGTGCATCGCATCGGCAAGCTGAAGTTTCTCACCTACTGGGATCTGGTAAGCATCTGGTGATGATGATGATGATGATGAATAGAATCTAAAAACAAATCCTCACCTAATCTACTTCTTCAAACAGCTTCTGCAGTTTTCCTTCTTCACACTGCTACTGCTCAGTCAGTCGCTGCTGAAGATCAAGTCGAAGTCGCTGACCAAGGCGATCGATGTCATCTTCTACTCGCTCGCTCTGCCCGTCTCACTGGTAAGTGACTGACTTCGAGTGTTTTGCACACACTGCTTCTTATCGATTGCTCTTTCTTTCTTTCTCTCTCCCCACTGAACAGATAGTGGCCGTTACCTTCTGGGGCCTCTACGCCATCGATAGGGAAATCATCTTTCCGAAGGCGATTGAGAAGTACTACCCCGTCTGGCTGAACCATGCCACGGTAAGCAA